CCAGCAGGTCGAGGCTGCGGTGGCCGGGAGCGGCCACTGCACTCCAGTCTGGGCAACGGAATGAGACTCCAACTCAAAAAATAAAAATAAAAAAAAAGAAGTATATCAGTTCTTCATTTAAAAAAAAAATGTATGTATACACACACACACACACACACACACACACAGTCATCCCTCAGTATCCACAGGGGAGTAGGCTCCAGGATGGCCCACAGATACCCAAATCCACACATACTCAACCCTCGCCCTGAAGAACACACGGCTACAAAAAGTCAGCCCTCAATAACCAGGGTTTTGCACCTCATGAATAGTATATTTTCCATTTGTATTTGGTTACAGATTCCGAAGCCACCCATACTGAGGGCACACTGTTTTTAATAAGAAAACTCCACATATAAGTGGACCCACACAGTGCAAGCCCAAACTGTTCAAGGTCAACTGTAGTTCCTGAGAAAATCTTGCTTGTTTTTCATCCTTTTTTCCTCAGCGTGGAGTTGAAACAAATAGGTGTCTTTCAATAATAATAATATTGGTGCAAATGCAGATAGGTCAAAAAGGTTATGCCTATTCTTTGCGAGAGGAGAAAGAACAGAGCACCTGGAAAAAGAGTTCTCTGAAAGTTGAGGAAATGTTTTAACAGGGAAAGTAAAACAGAATGAGAACATTCTTATTTATGTTTCTGCACTGGTCATACGTAAACATCCCCAATGTCTTTCAGCGGCTTCCTCTTCTCCATAGGGAAAAAAGCAGGAACAAAACCGGCCTGACAAGCAAAAGGCTGTCATCATGTTTCCTGTCCACACCTCTTCCCTGCCCCACATCTGCTACTATATTCACATGAGGAGGATGAAACTTTTGTGCAGATGAATGAGTACATGTTCCTAGCACCATGTTATGCATCCAGTGGCTTCTCGATAAATATCTTTTGTGATATTCCTGCTATTTGGAGAACATTTACTTGGATCACCATCCTACAATGCTCCATAGGGGGAAAAAAATGTGCTAATGTGCAGTTTCTTCCAGTGACATCATAACCAGGCTCAAAACAGAGTAGCGCCAACACCAACAATCTCCCATGATCACAACAGACACCAGGAAGTATACTTTTTCCAAGTTCATCCTGATAGTTACCTGATGCATAAAATGCCTACCCAGCCCCATCATAAAACTCGTGCTCACTTGGTATCAAGTGGTCATCGACTCGTCTGGTATTACTATTTCTATGTGAATCAAATTCTAAAAAGCGACTGTAGAGGTTCAGGAGGTGCTTCCCAAATAAGCTAAAAACAAATCCACCAAGGTTAACTGCACAGGACAAATGCACAGGCTGCAGACGCTGCATTTTAATAGGTCATAAGACAAAAGCTTGTCAAAGTCAATCAACTCCCCACACTATGATGAGTTCACCAAGCCGGAGCCTACACTGATCTCATACTTTCAAATCCTCTTCTCCATAAGCTCTGGAATGCTGTCAACAGGCATAAATACCTAAACCCTGTCAAAAAACATAATTCACTTTTAATATTTTGGTCACTAGTCCTTTTGCAATTTTAGGTATTTATAGCACTGTCAAAGAGCTATGCCGATAAATAGCATCTATTCTGAAAGCTGAGACTACAAATTGAGTGGTGTTTCTAGCTGAAATGAGCAGATCCAAATGCTGGCGCCAGTCCACAGGTCGGTCAACCAGCAGAAGGTGTCGTGGTTTGAGCGAACCTTCCAAGCCTGGCGAAATAAGTGCAACTTGTCCCTAGGCGGGAAAAGCTGTAACTACAATGGAATTACAGACATGCCATTTGGAATGCTGTAAAAGTTTTTTGGTTTTGGGAGGTTTTTTGTATTTATGCTTTGAACATTAATTTAGTTCAAAACTACTTTACTTAGAAAGAGCGTCAAATAACCGTTTTTAGGTGATGGTGACTAGGACAAGTTTTTATTGCAGCTAAATGTATTTGTTTCCTTAGAGGTAGAATTCTCGAAGTTTAATATTTGCAAAAGTGATTTGGTAGAGAATCCTAATGGAGAATATGTCAGACGTTCAATCTTCGGACCACTGCAAAATCCAAGCAAAACTACTGTCAAAGTTTAAAATTTACCTTTCCAATGTAACCTTCCTTGTGGTCTTGCTATGATATTAAACTACAAATCATCAATATATCATATAATCTGTACAGGAACACCGCAAAGCAAACTGCAGGGGAGGAATGCCTGGCTGCCCAGATCATCAGCATCACCCATGCAGTTATCATTTATTCAGTCCCCATACTCAAGTTGCAAATAATTTGAAAAGACAATTCTTTGTCAGGACAGAAAAACAGAAAACAAATTTCTCAAGCACACATGTATCCCCCCCATATAAATTCCTTGCAGTTTCAACAATTAAAAAAGAGAATTGCAAAAGATCATCTACTAATTACAATGGCACTGCTTTTGTTTTGTTAGAAAGTAACACTGAAACAAGGTTCTTTTTGAAGGAAGATTGTTAGGTAGATTATATAAAGAAAAAGCATAAAGAAGAGTTTTTCCTAATTCTGGATGTCAGAATCTGGGCACATTTCTTCAATGTGACAACTGAGAAAATATCCAGTCATAAAAGAAGATGTTAATACCTATCCTTACTCAACCAACATTTACTTAGGGTGTGACAACATAAAAACAACAACCAGTGATGGGTAACTGCTAATGATTACTGATTTGCAGATGCTAAAACTGGGAATTCAAATCTCTGATAGCTACAGAACAACTTCTTTTAATCAAACAAGTTAGAGTGAAAATGAAACAGTTCATAAATTAATTAAGTTGAAAGCTGCAATTCTTTAACATGCTCAAAGAATGACTGTATACTACTGGCCTTACATAGCCTCACTTTGCTTTAGGAAACAATCAAACTTTCACATAGTAGTAAGTCATACCACGGAATAAATCACTTGTGAAACAACCAGACAAATATATTAAATAAACAAACTAGCTTCATTCGTCTTATAGGTCAAACCTGAAAAAGCGATTATATTAAAGTTAACCTGAGAAAATTCAACGTTTGCCTAGAAAGATACAAACGAGTGGCCTAAAACTAAAGTCTGCCCACTGGGGGGAAAATGTCTTTTTCATGGAACTTGGTTCAAATACAGTACAGGCCCCTGCAAAACAGTGTACATACCCAGATTCCATCCCCTCTGTACATTAGTATTTTCCAAATTTTCAGTTCCCTGACTATTTGATCACACTTTCAAAAGCAACTTCCTTTACAGCCACAAACAAGCACGGACCACAAAACCCAACTGCTACAACAGGAATGTCCTAATAACCTCCCCTTTGAAATACATACGCAGCTTTCAAGCACATCGAGCCCGTTGTCGGCTGTTTCCTGTCATTGGAAGACTGTGGAAAGCTGATGGAAATCCAGCGTCCAAAAGCTTAATGAGCAAGACTAGCCCCACCCAAGCCAGACCCTGCTAGAGAAGGGCATGCTCAGTAGAAAAGCCCAGACTGGTTCCAAGTCACTTCATTCCTCAGCTAGAAAATTCACATGGGTCCAAGAAAAAAGTCAGCTTCCTGCTGCCTGTTCTACCCACTCAATGGAGAATCTTTCTACACAGAGACCAGTTTTAACGACACAAAACTTTGTCATCAAATTATAATTAATTCCATAATTATAATTTACATGCTCCTACCATGTCTTACATATTTTTCTCACTTACTTTTGTGGTTATGATTTTTATTTTGCTTTGGGTCTCCATTCACAACTTTGTTTTTATTTTTGTCCTCTTAATCTACCCTACAAACAGACACCAAAATAATACCTGTAGAGCACATAGTAGTCCCCGTTATCTCCAGGAAAGACCCCAAGGAGATGCCTGAAACCACGGATAATACCAAACTCGACTGTCATGAATTGGAACACATTTCTGTTCATGTCTTCCAATCATAAATTCAACTCCTTTTCCATCTTAACTAAGCACTTATCATATATTGCAGCCTTAACTTTTGCAGTCTGAGATACGACAGTGAAACTAGCACAAATTTCTTTTTCCTTCTTCACAATTTCACAGGTAGAAAATTTGTTCCTACTACAGACCTAAGCAACCTCAGCAAACGATATTTTCCTTTTCCTTGAGTCAAGAACTGTCCCCTTTATACCCAAAGGAAGCATTTGCTAACTTCTTTTTGTCATATTCAAATTGCCAGCATCACTACTCTTATGCTTTGAGCCCATTATAAAGTCATATAAGGGTGACCTGAACACAAGAACTGTGACATCATGACGGTCCATCTGATGACCCAGCCAGTTACTAAGTGACTTGTGAGACAGCAGCATCTACAGCACTGATCTGCTGGACAATCGAATAACGGTTCACACCCTGAAGGGTAGGAGAAGACAGTGTGAGATTTCATCACACTACTCAGAACATCATGCAATTGAAAACTAATGAACTAGCCGGGCTCGGTGGCTCAGCCTGTAATCCCGCGCCTTTGGGAGGCTGAGGTGACTGGATTGCCTGAGCCCGCGGGTTC